GACAAACACCTTGAGAGCTCACTAATGGCAACCACTGCCACTGAACCAGTCTGATGCATTTGTTTCACAAAAACAAGGTAAAACATCCCACTGTTTTTATTGTTTTGTTGCTCTCCTTTTCTAACTAAAAATATGAAAAAAAATTTTTGTTGCTTATATTCATTAATTATACTACATAATCCACGAGGCCTGCTCCAAAAGTAATGCCTTCTATTTTATTATGTTGGCCCATATGATCAGAGGCAGATGTTGGTGATAAGGCAGTAGAGACTGAATCTTCCCACCAATATTCTGTTACATTTTCTTGCTGTGGGACAGATGGCAGCAGAGGGGCAGTCTGACAAAATGGCATCTGACATGAAAATGTGTATCAAGCAAAGGTGTGTCACTGAATTACCCACGTGGAAAAAATGGCACCTGGTGATATTCACTGATGCTTGCTGATCACTGATGAAGACCCAACATGGATGTCAGCACAGTCAGGGCAGATGATGCATTTCAGCAGTGGAGACAGCGACAGTGGTCACCTCTGCTGGTGCAGGCCTTCACAAGCATGGCATGCAAGCTCTTGTTCATCATTGGCAAAAATGCCTACCTAACAGTGGATTAGGTTGAAAATTAATGTATCTGAAGATTTGCTTTATGAAATAGTGTCACTGTGCTCTTTGTAACTGCTGTAGTTTCCATGGAAATAAGTAAGAGGCCCTGCTTTTGGACAACTGCTCTTCACTCAGTGCAGCCCAGGCAAGCCCAAAGGTTGGACAGCCCTACACGAAGCCATGTCCCTGAGCATCACACGTCTTTCAAACACCTCCAGGGAGCAGCAGCATGCACTGTTACTCACATGCTCTGGAGCGTTACTGGTGTAACAGTTTTTATGTTAAAATACTCTTTCAGAACACTATGAATAGAACAGTCTTTTTCTACAGAAGGTTCTTTGTGAACTAAACTGACCATTAATGGCGCTAACCTCCTCAGGTCATAAAGCACAACACAATTTGAAGATATTCTGGTTTAAGCATATTTTTTCTAATACCCGCCAGTTACAAGTACAAAATTCCCCATGAACTTAATTCCCAACAAGGGAGAGAATGCACATGTGCACACCCACTTTCTCTAAAAAACAAGACATTCTGCTTGCATTTCCAAGCACCAGAGATAAGATAGGAATATTAGGTTGTATCTAGAGAGTTAGCAACACTTGATAGATGATCTGTCTGCTCGTATTTTACAAGTTTTAAGTGCAATTTAAAAATTTAAAAATCAGTGTTACAGTCTTTTGTTATGTCAGAGGAAAAACCTTAACTTTATAATTCTAAATACCTTCCCCTTGAATATGAAGTGATGTATCATGCACTTCAAACAAGGTATTTTATAATCATAAAGCTTTTTGTTACTGTTAAAACTGCAGCTCAATTTTCTGAGGCAGTAAAATGCAGTACTATATGACATACATTAAAAATCTTTTAAAAATCAGGCTAGGAAAAATCATTTCAGCTGGCATTACAGTACAGCAAGCGATAGGAAAGGATTCAGAAAACACATATAGGGGTAGATAACAGCAGGACAAGGGGAAATGGTTTTAAGTTGAGGGAGGGAAGATTTAGGTTGGATGTCAGGGGGAAGTTCTTTACAGAGAGAGTGGTGAGGTGCTGGAACAGACTGCCCAGAGAGACTGTGGATGCCCATTCCATCCCTGGAGGTGTTCAAGCCCAGACTGGATGGGCTGACCAGTCCCTGGACAGCCTGGTCTGGTATTAAATGGGGAGGTTGGTGGCCCTGCATGTGGCAGGGGGGTTGAAGATTCATGATCCCTGAGGTCCCTTCCAACCCTGGCCGTTCTGTGATTCTATGATTCTGTAAATAACAGATTTTACACAAAAGAAAATGTCCTTGTTTAATCAAATATTGTGACACCTAACTCACTGTTTCCAGTTTCAATAGGCAATTATTCCCAATTTTAAAAATATTCCTAACAAATAATCCTATCAAGTCTTTCTTCTGCATGTGCCTTTATTTACTTTGTTCTTGTTCCACACCAGCTTGCTCCAAGAATAGCAGCAGCAAAAAAGCAGTACAAAATTGGCAGGAAAATCTTACAGTGAAACATACAGTAATTATCAGTTAAAGCATTATAGTCATCAACAGGAGAAAAAAGCTACTGCTTTTCCCCTTTTCCTGATGCTACAGAGAGAAACATTCTCACTTCTGTTTATGAATTAAGTTTCTAGGCTCAACTAACTCCCTTAGATTCAGTGGATGGCAAGTTATGATGGGGAAAATGCCCTTCTATCTAATCAATACTTGCTTCTGCATAATACTTGGTTGTTTTACATGCAGCCCTAAAGCACAATCCATACTAAAAATAGTTTGCCTTGCAAAGTAATTTTTGGAAAAGACAGTAAAATGGTAAATCATACTGGTTTTAGCTGCCTAACTCATCACATACTGCATCCTCATTTGCATATGTCATGTTTCAGTCAACACAGTAGGTTCTAAAAATACTTAGAGCAAAAAACGCACAGTTCTGAGAGGATGGGCACATAGGTACTACATTACACTCAAGAAATTAGGAACACTCATATTCAAGGATCCATAAAGCAATCTAGGCCACAAAGACAACACCATAAAGTTGGCATTTCTAAGTTGGATTGTAGTGAACAAAACTTTTTGTCAATAGAACTACAAACATCAGCATTATTGCTTGTGCATCTTCACTAATGCATTCCAGATGAAAGACAAAGGATTAAGTTTGTGCACAGAGTAAATTTCCTTTTGAGTTAGTGAAGAATGAAAAGTTCAAATAGGCAGCATGACAACTGTGAGATCTTTAGTATTTGCACTGCCTCTGCTTGTGATGTACAATATCTTATTTCCTGGATAAACAGAGAAGTTAAATCCCCAGAGTCTGAATTCAGTTCCTTTCATAAGCCCTAACTTCATTTTTAAAAGTGATAAAAGAAAATGTAATTTGCTTTCCAGTTTTACCAGTAATCCATACATGTTCATACTGCATACTGCAGAAACATCTGTGAGATCAATAATAAGCATCCTACCCATGCTTCAATTTTCTGTTTTATTTAAAGAGAACAATGTCCAGCATTCACTCTACTCCACACTTTCTGCAGTTTGAATAATGGAATATAGGTAACAGAAATAGAAAAATGCATTGCAAATGAAAAAAATGCATGTTCTTTACACACAGACAGGAGATCTTCCGAGACAAAATCATGCAGACTAATTTACATATTTCTGAATAAAATAGTATAGCGATAGCAACAAGACTTCAAGTTCTCAAATGTGAGGGAACATCAGAACTACATTTGTCAATGTGCCTCTCCTCAGCACTCCTCGTCAATGGTCCCAAGCCCTTCATTCCCATTACAGGTTATTTAGCCAGCCTCAATTAGTGGCATGATTTGAACTTTCCTCCTACCTGCTGGCTTCCACTAAGACGTACAGGTAGATTCTACTCCTTTCTTCATGACTGGGTTTAAATCTTGTCTCCTATGTATTTTAACTTGCCACCAAGCATCACAAAGGTAAGAGAGCTTTGCTGTTATTGCTCTACCTACTTCCCACCTGGAAAAAAAACATCATAGAGAAGTAATTACTCTGCTAACATCCATAATAAAACCATCATAGAGAAGTAATTACTCTGCTAACATCCATAATAATAAAATTTATTACAGATGACATGTTTGGAAAATTTACTTAAAGGGAGCTAAAAAAAAATGTGCAAGCTTATATTTATTTACTTATTAGTAGTTACTTCTTTCACGGAGACAACAAAAGTGTCATCATTTGGCAACTGGGAAATAATCCAGATTAAAAAAAAAAAACCCAAACCAAAAAGCACTGGTTTTGCAGGCATTTTGCAGAATATTTCCATTATACAGTGCCATGCAATTAATAAGTTTATGTATCGAGGGCTGATCCGGAAGTAATGCCTCCCTTTTTATTCTCTTGGCCCATGATGTCAGAGGCAGATGTTGGTGGTACAGCAGTAGAGGCTGAACCATCCCACCAGTATTCCATTCCACGTTGTTGCTGTGTGACAGATGGCAGCAGGGGGGCAGTCTGACAAAATGGCGTCTGATATGGAAGTGCGTATGGAGCAAAGGTGCGTCATTGAATTCCTCCATGTGGAAAAAAATGGCATCCATTGACAATCATTGATGTTTGCTGAATGCTGATGAAGACCAAACAGAGGAGGTGAGCACAGTGAGGCGGTGGGTGGTGCATTTCAGCAGTGGAATTAGCAACAGCGGGCCACCTTCACTGGTGCAGGTTATTACCAGGATGACATGCAGGCTGCTGTTCACAGTGGGTGAAAATGCAGTGCTGGTGATGGTGGCTGTGTTTAAAAATAGTGTTTGACAGCTGAGAATCTCCTCAATCAAATGGTGTTACTGTGCTCTCTGCATCTTCCATGCAGATAAACAGGAGGCATTACTATCGGTACAACCCCCGTATTTGAAGTAACATCTAATTACTGCACAGCCTTTAGCTATCTTCCCCTTCTAAGCTTTTTACCTGATTCTTACGTTCTCTCTGCTGTTACATTTCCTACGCACTTTGCTGTCACTGCTCTCATTCGCCTTTTGCACGTCGTTACTAAACATTTTTATTATTCCCTCCCCGCAGTCTCGCAGGGAAAGGGCAGAGCAGAAACTCCTTTGAAGGCTGCAAACTACTTTGGTTTCCACGCTCCACTTTCACATACAACCCTTCTCCCAGCGCCACTCGACCGCCCCACGGAAGAACCGCCGGCGGCGACGGAACTCCCGCCCTCCGCAGCGCCCCGAACGGGCAGAGCGCCGCCGCCGCCGCCTCAGGACGAGCAGCAGAGCGCCGAGCGCGCGGCTCCGTGCGATCGGTGCTCGCGCCGTGCCCTGGCGCCACTGCCACTTCCGGTGTGAGCAGGGCGCTGCGGGAGTGGGATAACGGCGGTGCTTCCGGTCCAGCCGGCCTCCTCCCTTTCCACGCAGGTACGCGGTGCGAGTGAGCGGGGCTGAGCGCGACGGTGAGGAGCGTGGGTGTCGCGGAGCGAGCCGGGAGCGCGGGAAGAAGGGGGCGGCGTTGGTCCTGTCAGCAGTGAGAATCTCCGCCCGCAGCTCCATGGCGCGAGAGCCGGCCTGTCGCTGCTCGGGAGCTCCGGTCGTGGCCCCGCCTGGGGACGGTGCTCGGGTAGGGACGGGTCTGCGAGGGTCGTGTTGGGCCCGGTCTTGTTAGAAGAGTACTGAGATGCCAGTTTCTGCCGAACTTTTTTTCCGTGAGCGTTACAAGTCAGGAGCTTTTCAGAGGCCAAAGAAACGTTGCTTCTCCAGTTGCGCCTTCATTTCCTCTTTTTCGTGCTGTAATCATTCAACGTTACTTGTGTGAAGTGTTGAAATCCTACACTGCGTGGGGTATTCATCCCAGAAGATTACGAATATAAGGTATCCTTGCTTTAAAGCGGGTATTATTTACATTCCCACACTGAGAAAGAAAAATATAGAGGAGCATGCTCTTTTACACGTATCAAATCCATTGCTTGAGGGAATTCTTCCAGATAAGAAGATGAGTAGCACTTCTGATACATAGAAAAACAACAGTTTGAAAAGTCACCCTAGAGTTTAGAAAAGTTCCAGTACTGTTGCTAATGAGATTGCTCCATGGAGAGTGTTTCAAACAAATGCATGCACCACTTCTTCTCCTGTCACTAAATAATGTGCCTTGAGGGAGCTTGGTTTGTTCTGCCTGGAGAAAAGAAGGCTGCAGGGTGAGCTCATTGCAGCCTTTCAGTACCTAAAAGGAGCCTACAACAGGAGGGGAATCAACTCTTTGAAAGGGTAGATAACTGCAGAACAAGGGGAAACGGTTTTAAGTTGAGGGAGGGAAGGTTTAGGTTGGATGTCAGGGGGAAGTTCTTTACAGAGAGAGTGGGAGGTGCTGGAACAGCTGCCCAGAGAGGTTGTGGATGCCCCGTCCCTGGAGGTGTTCAAGGCCAGATTGGATGGGGCCCTGGACAGCCTGGTCTGGTATTAAATGGGGAGGTTGGTGGCCCTGCATGTGGCAGGGGGGTTGGAGATTCATGATCCTTGAGGTCCCTTCCAACCCTGGCCATTCTGTGATTCTATTTAGTTTATTGTGCATCATCTTATAGATGCCCTTGGGTATGACTGGAGCTAACAGTGTTACTACTGTTTTACTGCTAGAATCTGCGATAAATTAAATTGTCAGTTCGTAAAAGCTAGTGTTGTTGCTAAGGAAATACTTTGTATATGAATTGCTGAGAAGTCAGAATTATGTTAATAAGTACACTTGTTACTGCCTTTCCTTACCTTTACTTTTTCTGATCTGACTGTGATGTTCTCTTTCTTTTGCAGGTCTTCCACAACTAATATCTAAATTAGTAGTCAAAGGGGGAAATTTAGATACAGAACTTCATTGTACGCTTTTCCCCAATACTGAATTTCTGCAGTACGCTTGGCAGTATGTGGCTATGCGTTGTGCTGGGTGTACATCAGTCTCTGTTTTCCCATTCAGATGAAAAATGAGGCTCAGATTATTTCTGCAGCTCTTGATATTGCTGAGAAAATGTGGCATTAAAGAACACTTTTCCCAATACTGGTCAGGAAAGATCTGAACAGGCCATAACGTAAATAGAAGCTCTGCTATGATGTCCTTCATTGCTAAGAAGTTTGCTTCTTAAGCTTGAAATTTACAGTCCTAACTTAGCTCAGTTCTTTCAGAGAGAGTAGTAACTTGTATCCTGATCTAGTGATTTCTCTCAGTGATCAAGTAAGGACCACCAAGTGTCTCTGCAGGCAATCTTACTCTGCTTTCAGTAGCAAAGTAATGCTGTAATCACAGACCTGCTTAGCAATTAAATCCCAACTTAACGGCTCCACATAATCACTTTCATAAACTTCCCATCTTTTAAGCAGTTCAGCAGTTTCTTATTATTCTTACTCTGTTCTAGAATGCCAGTACTGTAGGGATGAAAAGATAATTTCTGGTGAAGTTTATTCATGATCAGTTGTTGCCCATTTGCTCTCCATCAGCTGCCATTAAAATTGGAATTATTTTTCTCCTCAATGATGATCACTATGATACTTTCATTTAAAGCAGCTCTATTCTCTTTTCAGCATGATTCTGCTAGGTTAGGGAGCTCTGATTCTGTTAACAAGGAAGGCTCTCTGTTCTTCTATTGTGACAGTCTTTTCTGCAGTCATTCTTTAAATTCATCTGAGAGGGATCAGAAACGTGCACAATATTGTATCAAAAAGTTTGCTACTGCCTTCTAGGATGCCATAGGTGCTTTTGAATCTACTGAACAAGCCTACTTAGCCTTTTTCCGTTTTTATTACTGCCTCACTTTGTGATTAACCAACAATCCACAGGGGTGAAATTCCTACTTCTACTGCTGGTTTTCATCTGAAGAGCTTTGAATTTAAGCATAGTTTATGGTCCCTCAATTACTGTTACAGTCCCCAAGCTATTCTTTCAGAACCTCAATAGGAATCTTGGTAGTATCCAGCTTGTATCAAAAAAGGAAGCATAAGCACAATGTCAGTTTTATGCGTTTCTTTTGAGCTCAACTTGTTATTTCTTATCTTGCACAATTGTTGAAGTCAGTGCAGGTTATGTTTACTACACTTACTGCATGATCTTCATATGCTAGCACATTTTCCATTTGCAAATGATGGGAAGAGTATTTTTCAAAGATGTATAGTGATGAGTATTTTTAAGGAGAGGATTGCAACCAATTAAATATTTGAGACCAGCTTAATGTGATTATGGACTGCTGGCTAAACTAGACTCTCATCTGTGCTTTAAAATTGGGTGATATGGACCAATGTGGTTATTTTTGAGGCTGAGAACAAGAAGAGAATCTCAAAAGTCATAATCTGTCCTAAACTTGGAATTAAAAATTATTTGCCTGTCAGTCTAGTAAGTTTCTAACTTCATTCTCCAGGCTTCCTTTATCTAATTTTGTTTTCTATTACACGTAGAAATGGCTGTGTGCACTTAATATTCAATGGATTGCAAATAGTGTATAGTTAGTCAGAAAACCAGGTTCATTTTTGAGACCCTCTTCTTTTTCTTCTTGTTTTAATCTTCAAGTTCTTTTCCTCAGAAGTGTGTGAGAAATAGTGTGTAAACGTGACAGTTAAGGAATAATGTCTTTCACTTCAACACTTAGCCAATCACCATCTCAAATCTGTAGCTTTTAGCCAGTTCTCACAGGTAATGGACTAGTCTGCTATATTTCCTTGTGAAAATGAAGTCAACTTGGCAGAACAGCAGTGCCTCCATACCAGTGTTTTCACTGGAATTTGATCATGGGAATCATTCTTTGGCTAAGCAGCCACTGGTATAGAAAGGCCAGTGTGAGATACTCTGCAACTAGTTTTCTGTGCTGCAAGTAAAATAATCCAGCAAAACTCTCAAACCTTTGTATGTCCCATGTAAATTTCACATTTGTTTAGTGTCATTGTTGGAAAGCTATATATTGTGTCTTACCTGACTCTATTGTTTCTTTCAGCTTTCAGTCAAAGGACACGAGGAAGAAGGACAGAGAGAAGATAACAGCAGCACCGAATGCAGCGAACGTGGAGTCATGGATCTGAAATTCACTTCAGCAAGAAAATACGTTTCCATCAGTGTACCTTCCAAATCTCAGACTATGTCACCCCATATCAAATCAGTAGATGATGTTATAGTTCTTGGCATCAATCTTAGCAAATTTAACAAGCCTGCTCAATTTTTCATCTGTGTTTCTGGAGTTTTTCTGTTTTATCTAATCTATGGATATTTACAGGTAAATGCTATGATTTGTGTCTTATTGTACTTCTCCCTTTTTAAAAGAAATTGTTTAGAGTAGTAATACGCTACTATTTTAATATGTATAGACATATAAAATAGAAATTCACTGTAAAATCAAGCTCTTAGAATTTAAGAGCAATAAGCAGTTATAATCTAACATTCTACAAAAATTCACATAGGGCTGAGGTTTGGCTCAGTTCATTTTTATAATTTGTTTTTTATTTATGTGCTCGAAACGTAATGCATAATTCATAATTGTTCTTAATGTATGTTTTGATATGTGATCTTATAGCCTTCTAAAAACAAATTTTAGAACCATTGAGACTGACATAGAACATAGGATGGCTTGGATTGGAAAGGACCTCAAGGATCATCAAGTTCCAAGCTCTGTGCCATAGGCAGGGTTGACAGATACTAGATTAAGTCTAGACCAAGCTGCCTAGGGCCCCATCCAACCTGGCCTTGAAAGCCTCCAGGGATGGGGCATCCACGGCCTCTCTGGGCAGCCTGCTCCAGCACTCACCACTCTCAGGGGAAAGCTTTCCTGACATCAAGTTTCAGCTGTTGTTGACACCTCTGTATCCACTTGAGTTCAATGACTGTAGTACAGTAACAAGTCTGTTCTCTGTGCTCGTCCTTCAGGACAAGGCTGAAGTATATGTTATGGTTGTTAGTTAAACAGAAGCATGGTGTGCAGGGAAATGCTAGGTATTTTATTATTTTCATTAAGAATTCCTCTTCTTGACAGCCTTTTTGCTTCTATCTTGGCCAGTTATATTTCTGTTCCTATTTATTTATTTTTTGGAAGCTCAACTGAGTCTTTTCAATAAAGCAGTGACTGAAAAGGTCTCAAATCATGTTTTTGGTGTGGCTTTTCAAAACACCTAAGAAGACTGTTTACCTAAAAAAGTTACTATTGAACTTAGTTATCAATAAATAAAAGCAGAACCTCAAAAGGGAAAATATTAAGCAGCTTTTTTTTTAACTGTTGTTGCCCTATCTCCCTCTAACTGACATGCAATTCTTTATGCAATGCTTGTGTTTTTCCGTTGTAAATTGTTCCAGTTTTAAATGTCTCTGCAACCCACAAATTGACAAGCTTACAAGTTCTGTTAATTTAGGCGCTCAGAATTTTAGTTCCATGATTCAAAGTGATGAGAATTACTAGTAAATGTGTCTCTTAGTGGAAATATGTATTTATTTTGAGCTATTTACAAAATCTCGCTAAAAAGAGTCTGCTCAAGTAAATGAACTGGAAAGCAGACTGAAAACCATCCATAATTTGAGCTAAATATTCGCAGAACAAGTGTAATCCCCTGATGAATCAATCCATTAATTTCAGTGGATTTAAAGCAGTACATTTTTTTATTGCATTTTGGAGAAACTAAATTGTCTTCTCAATATTGTGCAAGTTGCACATGATAAGTGAATTCTAGTTAATTCTAGCAAGGACTGGATTTGCATGTACTTGAAGAAAAAGAATAGTATTTTGAACATAATGTTTTGGTGTATGTATGTGACCTTGGTGGGGTTTTGTTTTTATAGGAATTGATATTTTCAGTGGAAGGTTTTAAACCTTTTGGTTGGTACCTCACTTTAGTGCAATTTGGATTTTATTCCGTTTTTGGACTAATAGAATTGCAGTTGATTCAGGACAAAAGGAGAAGGTATGTGTTTTTTTCCAAACATTTTGCATGCTATCAGTCAAAAAAAGAAACATTTTGATGCTTATGGTAAATTTATCTTCTGTTGCATCATTGTGAATGTGTTGAGGCATTGTTAGTAGATTCATGATAAAAATAATCTGAACTTAAAGGGTAGTGTTAAAAAATATTTTGTAAGCGTCCACTTAAAATTCAGGCCTGTAAATGGTCTTGTTGACTTGTACTGTTGCTTTGTCCCGTTTATGGAGCTTATTCAATCTCAAAGTGAACTGATACAGACTGACTCTGCTGCTTGATATTGTCATGTCTAGAAAACCCAAGTACACTTAACTGCAGTAAACCCCGGAGATTCTTGCAATCTTGAATCCTAAGCATATGGGATATATTGATATAAGTCTGTGGCTCCCTGTCCAAGTACAGCCTCTGCAATGTGCACATTCAGGCATTCTGGAAGCTTGGATAGAGGCTGTCATGTATGCAGATGTTGAAAGTACATTGAAACATTATTTCCTAGTTGAGCATAAGCATTGTTGCTTAGAAGTGGTCATCGTTGGCTGACTTCTTGTATACTGATTTTAGGTAACAGTATTATTTTATAACCAATATAACTGAGAACATTTCGAGGTAGCTGGCTTTCAGAGATGCATCAGATAATGTGTAGTTACCTGGTAAACACTGTGTTAACTAGTATTTGTTTTCATTACCTAACTATTTGGTATTGGTTATAGTTCTTGCCCTGGTATGTAAGTTATGTTGGAAATGTAGCTCCTACATATATTTTTACTTCTTTTTTTTATGTAATCCAGGCAACTTCTTGCAGACATTAAAAATCTATTTCCTAATTTTTAGTCCATATTCACTCTTAAATTTTATTATACGAATTGTTTGTTAATAAGTATGCCTACATCACATAATGAATTGTGGATCAGACAGCGTTACCACAAGACATCTCCTTATGTTGCTGACTGTGGCTTTGAGTATGCATAAGAAACAGTAGAACATATGCAGAACAGTTAACTCTGAAAAATCACTAAGTGAACCCAGTGATTGGTAAAAGCTAGTGCTGGATCATCTGTTATCAGATGATCATTCCATCAAATCGAAAAGAACAAACCTGAAAATATTCAATGAAGATCTCCTTTTATAGCATCTGAATTCCCTCTTATTTCTGTTGAGTTTTTCGCTGGTACTTCTTCTACGTTCTTCTTTCTTAGGCCATCAGTGTTAGTATGAAGACTTAGACAAACTGACAAAGTGATGATGAAAAGACTAAGATTCAGGTTATCTAGGTGTACTGACCTTCTGTGTTTCCTCGACAAATAACCTGCAGCCTTTGTCTTGTTTCTAGAGTGATAGACTTTCTCAGAAGGAGGTTAAAACATTCTTGTTTGGAGCCATGAAGTTTGTGTCTTTCGTTTGAACAAAATGTATTGGCAGTAACTGAAAGCAAAACTTTGAAACCTGTCTTTTATGTGCATTTTAAAATTTCTGTTATGGAACAAAAATGAGTGAGAAAAATGATCAAGTTCTATTATGAACATATTCCTTTATATACATTTTCTAATCTAGGTCTCCTCTAGCTGCATCTGTAATACCAACATTCTTATGTTTATGTTTTGTAGAATTCCTGGCAAAACCTACATGATAATAGCCTTTTTAACAGTGGGAACTATGGGCTTGTCAAATACCTCTTTAGGATATCTTAATTACCCTACTCAAGTCATCTTCAAGTGCTGTAAACTGATCCCAGTTATGGTAGGCGGGGTTTTTATACAAGGTAAGTATTGGTCTTGCTGTTTTCTTATTTATTTATCTTTTAGGTTGCAGTTGTGTTCGGAATCCTGTGCTTTGCTGAATCCCACTGACTAGAGAGGAACAGGTACCATTCCTCCTGTAGGAGGTAAACTGTAAATTTCTGAAGCATCTTCTCAGAGAAGGTGATTAAAAAAAGAAGTTGTATGGGTTTCTTGCAAAATTTCAGTTTCATGAAGACTTTTAAAATTAGTATTACCTTTTCTAAACAAAAACTCTTCATAAATGAACCATTTTCAGTGCTGGAATGGAAAAAAAAATAAACTAGGATTTAATGATTTGTGAAGAAATCTGCTCTTTTTGTTTGAAAATCTTAATTTGTAAGTTGTATCATAAATATTGTTCAAAGTAATTTAAATTTAATTGCATGTATATGTGACTTAAGTCATCTTAGGCTAATCCCCAAATCATTGTTTGTATCTGAAGAACAGTAAAAGGAATCTGGAGTACAGTGAATAAAGACTATTGTTATGTGAATAAATTTCAGTGTTTCTGGAGTTAGCAGGTTTAAGTATATTATAAAAAGTTAATGTTTCTTTGGTACACAAGGATTCATCGAGTCAGTTAAGTTCTGCATATGAAAATGTTATGGAGTACTGTCAGTAGTTACACATTCTGTTAGTTTCTGATGTTACAGTTGCAAAAGACTGAGTTTGTATAGTGCTCCAGGCCAGTGAATATTGTTGGGTAATTTTTATCCAAGCAACAATATATATTTTTTTATTTCCCTGCTCTCTTGCTCCACCTCCACTTTACATCCTCTCGAACTAAAAGGCAGTAGGGTTTTAAAAGTTCCAAAATTGTCTGTTGGTGTTTGGGAATGACTTTTCTCTAAACAATAAAGGCAGCCGAAGTCTCTTGAATAAGAGAAAAATTAAGAAAATATCCAGATTGTCCTGAATATGCTCAGGGAGGATGTGTCTAAGGAGTAAAATGAATATCAACCACAAGAATCAGATAATAATCTGTTAAGATCCTTCTCTGCTTTAGGAACTGCTGCTGTACAAGAAACTGGTTTCAGTCACTAAAGGCTGGAGCATTAAGTCTCCTGTTGAAGTAAAGGACAACTAAACAGTTTTTCCTTTGCCTTCTAGTCTGCTGACAGGGTAAACACAGAATGCTGAGAGTATTAGAGTCTCATTCATGTTGTTTTTATTGCTTTTGCAGGAAAACGTTACAACATTGCAGATGTGTCTGCTGCCCTATGTATGAGTCTTGGATTAATATGGTTTACTTTAGCTGACAGCACAGTTGCACCAAACTTCAACTTGACAGGTAAAGATATATTTTTCTAGTATAATGAAATGCAGACTTTTCCTACTGTAAGCGTTCCATAAAAGTTTTAAGAGTTCTTGGTGTAGGGCCTAGTGTATCCTACTGAAAATACAGGGTTTTTTCTGTCTTTGTACTGGCAGAAATGTATCTTTGGCAGTAGAGGCATTAACTCCAAGCCTTAGTTAAAGCTTAGGGAAATAACCACCCTTTGTGTTGAAATATCACATACTTGTTCTCAAGAAATATTTACTTCCCTGTGAATGCCTTACAATAAACAGAATAAAAATTTAGTCTGAGGATTTTAAAATTGCAAAAGTCTGTCTTTTCCAATTCAACTTTTCAGTCTTGTTACATTTCAGAACCTTTTTATTTATTGATGATTTCACTCTTAGAGCGTAGGCACTGTAAATTTTTGCATGTTACATGAAATCAGAAATAACTAAAACATTCTTATGTTTAAAAACTTAATTGAAAATCTGTTAATCCATTGCAAATGAGAGGGGAGAACTGGTTATTCCTAAAATGCATTTTATGTACCTGATCAGTGTTTGAATTACTACTGAGCTTTGAAGTGTATTTGAATAATCAGTTTTTAATGTATTCTTCCTTTAAAATTCTGAGATTAATTACAGTAACCATTATTAGAAGCGTTCATTGCGAAACTTTTATTTCTCAATAGTGAAAACATTGATTTATAAGTTCTGTTCATAAAAATAGTAATAAATTTTATTAATAATATAAATGAATAAATTATTTAATAAATATTATCATTTGAAACAAAGGTTTTTTATTCTAAGAGAACGTTATTTCATCTAGTGTTGTTGATGGTCAAATGGAAAGGTGTTGTTTGAACTATATATACTTACTTTGAGTGTAAGAGGAAGGTGATACGCATGTTGTTATAGTCTAGTGTTCTCTGAAGTACAGAGACATTCTAGTTTTACAGCAGTTTTAGACAATTGCTTCTAAACCTTCAGAGAATAAACAGTGTTGTCTATCAATTTCTTTTATACATATCAAATGATTCTGCATATACTGAACTTTAGAGCACTATGATTTGCAGGACATCAGTTCTATGAAAATAGAATGTAGGCTTGAATTCAAAACTCCGGGTCTTCCCTTAGTAAGGTAATTCAAAATTCTACTGCTCACCTTCAAGGGAGGTACATTGTGCATTTTTCTACTCCTTCTTGTCTGTTTTGTTTTATTTACACTCAGTAGAATGCATAGTTTTTGTCCAGAGCAAATACTAAAGTAAAGCATGAGCAAATGTAAGTTTTGCCCATGTCATACCTTCAGGAATTTTACAACTTGTTTATTTTCTTGTTTTGTTTTCTTTTCCTGCTATTAAATTCCAGCCTCGGTATTGCTGGGTCATAAAAGGTTTTCTTTACACAACAAAGAGCTCAGCAAAGAAAACAAAATCTGTCTTCTGCCAGAACAGGTACATATTTGTAACTAATGAAGAAATATATTTCTCAACATAGAGGTGGTAATAAGAGCTAAAAAAATTCATAGCATTGCTAAATTAGAGAATTAGTGGTAGATAACCTAAGCAGTTACAAGTAATAGAGAATGTCCAGACAAGAAAGGGGAAAAATGTGCCCAAGGAGACAGTTTTGAAACATTGATGCTACTGAAACTTCCACTGTTCTGTCATTAAAAGTATAAATGGAAATTACTTGTTATTTATAGCATGGAAACAGTGAAAAAAGTACTTCTGTGCAAATTTCTCCATTCTAGACTGTAATGGCAGATACAGTTTAGTCTTTTGTAGACTGGAAAGCTGATGACAGTATTGATTCTGTAGTAACTTTGTTGTGGCCAGGTATATAGCATTAAACCACAGGGTCTGTACCTGAACAGTACTATTTAAAAATAGAATATTTCAGCAATGAAGGATTTTCACAGTGAATCTTCTTGCATTCTTCTTATCACTACATCCTTTTATCGGGGGAAATAATATAGGGCTAACTTCTAAAAGGAATAAGTTATTTGATTATTTATTTTTAAAAACCTAAATGAATGCAGTAGACATACTTTCACTGTTTTTAATACAAGAAAATTAGAGATTTCTTTTCTTATAGCAATAACCAGATACTCCTGTCAAGCCTAGAGGCAGATAGAGCTTGGAGCTTGGCTTTGGGAGGAGTGGGAGTGAACACTGATTTGTTAAAACTTATGTTAGTATAATGAAATAGATTTGCTGACATTTGGAGATAATATAGAATTATAGAATGACTTGGGTTGGAAGGGACCTCAAGGATCATCAAGTTTCAACCCCTTACCCACAGGCAGGGCCACCAATCTCCAGATCTGATACTAGACCAGGCTGCCCAGGGCCCCAACCTGGCCTTGAACACTTCCAGGGATGGGACATCCACAACCTTTCTGGGCAGCCTGTTCCTTACTACTCTCATAGTAAAGATCTTCCCCCTGACATCCAACCTAAATCTTCCCTCTTTGAGCTTATCAGACTCAATTTGGAGTTGATATGGTATTTTTTTTATTACTGTATTACTGGTTTGCTATTTGTGAGCTTTTTCAGGACAGAGTAATTTTTATCACTACTCTGCTTCGATGATAAATATTCTTAACAGGTTTTTGCTTTTCTTTTATTAGGTGTGGTCCTAATATCCCTTGCACTCTGTGCAGATGCAGTTATAGGAAATGTACAGGAAAAAGCAATGAAGTTGCACAATGGTTCTAATTCAGAAATGGTAAATATTAGTTTCTCATTTACTGTTCTGTCACACAAATTTCAGGAGTATTTCAATAATCCGACTAATATTGTTATCTGAGCAGGATAAAGGCTGAATTAATACAGAATTAACATGCTTTGCGATTTTGAGACATGTTTTGTCATAGACAGTGTATGCAATGGCAAAATAAGGAATTATATTTGCTTTTCTCTTTGATATGTGAACAGCTACTTTTTGTGTATGCATCCTTGGTTTTTTTCTTCTTTTTTTCTATTTGTTTTTCTATTTTTTGTAGGGTTGTTTGGTTTGGGGTTTTTTGTTCGTTTTTTTTTCTTTTATGGAGGCTTTTTATTCAAGTGCTGTTTTCTGTATCCAATTTCAAATGTATATTGGAGCTACAGAAACCACAGAATCATAGAATGGTTTGGGTTGGAAGGGACGTTTAACAGCATTTAGTTCTTAACCCCCTGCTTTAGACAGGGACACCTCCCTCTAAACCAGGATGTTCAAAGCCCCATCCTGCCTGGCCTTGAATGTTTCCAGAGAGGAAGCATTTACAGCCTCTATAGGCAATGAGTTCAGTGTCTCACTGCCCTCACTGTAAAGACTTAATTCCTCATATCTAGTCTAAATCTACCCTCTTCCAGTTTAAAGCCATTTCCCTTATCCTGTCTCTATATGCCCTTATAAAAAATCCCTCCTCAGCTTTCCTGTAGGCCCTGCTCAGGTACTGGAAGGCCACTATAACAATTCCCCTGAAGACTTCTCCAGGCTGAAGAGCCCCAGCTCTCTCAGCCTGTCTTCATAGTGGAGGTTCTCCAGCCCTCTGATCATCTTCGTGCCCCTCCTTTGGACCTGCTCCAACATCTCAATGTCCTTATTGTGTTGGGGGTCCCAGAACAGTACTCCAGCTGGGGTCTCACAAGAGCAGAATCACCTCCCTCAACCTGCTGGTCGTGTTTCTCTTGATGCAGCCCAGGATACAGTTGGCCTTCTGAGCTTCAGTGCACATTGCTGTCTCATGTTGAATCTTTCATCAGCTGACACCACCAAATCCTTCTCCTCAGGGCTGCTCTCAAGCCATTCCTTGCTCGGCCTGTATTTGTGCTTGGGATTGCCCCAACCCAGATGCAGGACCTTATGCTTTGGCCTTGTTGAACTTCATGATGGGCCCACCTCTCAAGCCTGTCCATGTCCCTCTGGATGCCATCCCTTCCCTCCAGCGTATCAAATGCACAACTCAGCTTGGTGTCTTTCTACCAACTTGCTAAGGGTGCATTCAGTCCCACTGTCCATATCCCATACAAAAATGTTAAATAGCACCATTCCCATCACCGATCACTGAGGAATGCTACTCAACACCAATCTCTACTTGCAAGTAATGTGCTATATAAATGATTTATTTCAAGTAACAATTTTTTTTTTTTGTATATACAGGGAAGAGTCTGGCCTGAAGTCAGTAGGGAGTTTTCTATATGATCATGCTCTTCATTTCTAAAAAATTATATACTGTTCTTCTGTCATAGTGTTGCATAGAATGCATTGCTTTTTCTCATTAATGGGTTTCTGATTCTAAAGTGTGCAAGTACTTAAAAGGCTTGCTTGTTACTTATGGAACTTGTTCTGTTTTGCTGAAATCAGTAAAAGTTTGACTTTTGGAATGAGTGGATATATGTCCTCCTAATTCTGTGAAATACATGATCTTTTTAAAAAAGTCTTATTCAGAAATTTTGTATGCTTCTTTGGTACATGGATTATATGTTCTCATCTTGTGACATTTTCCCTTTAGGTAAGCTTCTGTTTGAAGTTGGCATCTTTTTCTCTAAAACTGAGTCAGGATTTTATTATGATGAACATTATTTGAATATGCCACAAATAAAAACAGATACGTCCAATGGAATTTCACTATACCTCATCTGATGTGACTAATCAATCTGGTTCTTCATTTATGAGAACAGCTTAAGAAATGGAGAGGAAATTAGAACTAAACTTCATTTATGCATATGACAAAAGAAGTTCAGCCTGCAGTTTCTGGAAAATAGAAGAATATACTGAGAAGATATACTCTATTCTTGCATTTAAGTTTGTACTTCTCCTTAGTAGCTACTGTTCACTGCTGCCAGAAGCAGAGATCTTAGCTGGATGGACCTTCTCTGACTCAGCACAGCCTTTTATAGCTATGATCTCTGAAATACAAGTGTACACAGCTGCTTTCTCACTCAGTTTGTGTCTCGTAATCAGTCATCTGACAATTTGCTACCTGTCTTGTAATTTCTCTAAAACGTTGCTTTTTCATTCTGTATTAGATGAACAGATGTTGGTCTTGATATTTTCTTCCACTTGTAGAAAATCAGTGTAGTGATTAAGGTCATTAAGGGCTTTGTTAGTTTGAGCCTAGATACTGCATTGTTGGATTCTTTTCAGAGAATTCAGGGCAGAAATACAAACAATTTCAGAAATCATCTTTCTAGACTTGAGATCATGAGTGAGGATTAAGAGATCCTTTCAGGAAGTAGGTTTAATGAGCAATGATCCCAAAATACAGTTGGGTAGTGAAGGAATGTGTCATCCATGGGATCTCTTGCAGAAGTTGGAGCTCACTCTTGACTAAGCAGTTACGAAAAAAGAAAAGATGTCTTGTAGATAAAATCATTTTCCAGAAGAGTGATTATTATGTCTGATTTTGCCTTATATTTGATTCTAAGGAAAACTTATTTCCCACTTCCTTATGAGAAACTAGAAACATGTTGTTGAGTCCTTGTTCTGAGAAGTAAGATCGTAAATCTGGGAAAAAAGCTGGATGGTTGCAAATGAACAAAGAATTAGAGCCTAATTTTTCTGTGTATAAACACTGTGCAGAATTAGAGCTCTGAATATCAGTCTGTTTTTTAAGAAATTGAAAGTAGTTCTGCTACTGAAACATACACTGATCCTCATTTACTGTAGAGCAGTGGCAAGTGTTTCATCATCTCGTGGCATCATTATCAATTGTTAGCATGCTTATCTTTGCAAATAATTGAGATACTACAACAAGGAAACAACTGATAAAGCCCTTGCCAGAAAAGCATATCTATAATTGACACTGAGTTTTGAAAGTGTGCTGAGTCAGTGTTTTCTAGTTAGTAACATGTGAAATAGTTTTGTTTGCTGTCTCCCTTCTTTGAGGGAAAGGGTCACTAACAGCAGTTGCTTCCCTCCACACCAGTGTGTGTATAGAAGGGCAGCTCCAGCTTCTGAACTAGGCCAGAGCTAATCATAGGTCAAGATTTGGTATCCTATAGCTATAATACAGGTGTAGTATAGGTGAACTGAAGTGACACAGCTGACACTTTGTGACAGATACTGTGGCAGCTCGTGGTGATTAAGTGCACATTTAATGTAAAAAGCTTCTTAATAAATAGCAGAAATCTATCTGTCTTTGGCATATTATTCAAGCTAATTGTATAGTTTTCAGAAGCCTTATTTGGACTGTGAAACCCTCAATTTGGAGGATTTCAGTGAGCATTGACTTCAGGATACTGTTTAGCTTACAAAACTTTTTCATGTAGTTTTGGGTAGGAAGAATGATTAATGCTTATTATTCATTTTTCTTTGTACGTAAGCTGTTACAGGAATACTAGTAAAAATATCTTCCAACACTAAAAACTCCATCTCAGAAACTGAAAATATTGAAGTAGAAAATTAAATGGTTTCAAATGTATGACCCTATTAATATGATATCACCTGGTAATTATTTTCTTTTGAACTCTTGTAGGTTTTGTACTCTTACTCTATAGGTTTTCTGTATATTTTATTTGGATTAACTTGCACTAGTGGATTAAGCCCTGCAGTAGCATTTTGCTCACAGGTAGGTGTAAAAATTTCCTTTTTTTTCCTGTAAATAACCTCAATAGAAAACATTGATCTGCATAGTTTAGAAAATCTCACCACTCTTTAATGTTATGCTTTCATCGTGTAACCTGGTTGACTTGTACATTTCATGCATTAAATATGTTGTTACAGTCTTTATTGTATAAGATAATGTGATAATGTTTAAAAAACAAAAACAATGAAATTACAAGACCAAACTTATAAGCTTATAATTTCATAATTATTTTTCCATTATTTAACTAAAATTAAATAAGGATATTTGCATGAATGCATTCTTGAACAGCTTATTGTTGTTCAAGCAGTTGATTAAAGTCTGTAGTTTTGTCATTTTTTTAATACCTCAGGGTTTGTTTTACATTTTCCTAACAGGCTTTTGTTGTTGTTGCAGCATCCAATTCAGACTTATGGTTATGCATTCCTTTTCTCCCTGACTGGATATTTTGGCATATCCTTTGTTCTGGCTTTGATTAAAATCTTTGGTGCCCTTCTGGCTGTAACAGGTATGAACAAATGATATCTTTGCTGCTTTTGGGATAAAAACTTGAAGTATTTTGTTATTTAGGACAGCTTCTGAGAATTGCTGTTTCTCTGGCCTTTTTTTTCTCTTGTTTGTGCTGATGATGTTGGTTTGTTTAGTACGTGTATTTCTGGTGTATATTTGGGTGCTTTCTCCTCCTTTTCCTGCTACAGTTTCAACATAGCAGAGCATATTAAGTAGCATTGTGCAGGTGGCCTATGCTGTGTTTTAATACAGAAACAGCACTATTCTAAACAGAGGAATGCAGCCAAGATATAAGAAAAAGATGAGTGTTACTTGAAACATGGGAGAAAAACATATTCAAGTAAGGTATGGCAGACACCTTAAGCATAGAATTTCTGGAGATTTCCAACAAAAAATGTTGTTAGGAAAAGTATGAAGGATTTCTCTGAAGATTTTATGCATATCCACACATTTTTAATGGAATGCTGCTGTAGCAATGTTAAGTGTACGCTAAAAGTCAGTTCAAAATAAACTCAAGTGGAACAAATTCTGCCTCTTGTGACAGTTTATTCAGTTTTTTTATTAAATGGAATGCAATAAAGAGTATTTGTTTTGGAAGTTAGGATGTAAACTAAACAGACTTCTCCTGACTGTAATGTTAATGGCAGAAGCAGACTGTCTAGCTTTTTGGTTCTTCTTTTAGGCTTACACAGCAATTGGCCCAAAAATGGAAGCAGTTATATTTTCTGTTGAATCTTAATGCAGTATATAACTATATCAACTATGTCATGAAAAAAGATGTGAAGTACAAATGTAAGGTATCAGTAGTATATTGAAAACATTTTTTCCAGTCACCAGTGTGACTAGATGCACGTGTGTATATAACAAAATGAATCTCTCAAGGATGTTAAAGGTTACTGTAATCCTCTCCAAGTTAAGAACGTCACTAAATGCCATTGTACCTGTTCTTGCAACAGTTCAATTAACAGTGCAATTAAAAAGTTGCGATGTGATGCTCTGACTTCAGTATTTTTCTGTGAGTAAATGCAAGTCAGACCTATCTGTGCTGACAATCCCCAGGTACATATCCCAATTGCTGAGGAAAAAGTGGACTTGAAATGAGAGGCAGTCATAACCCTTATGGATATTCAATCTCCGTAGATAGTCAGACTTGACTCTTAGCCCATCTATAACTGGGCATAACCTTCATCTTGAGCAATCAGTCATCTGGAAAAGTCACATGGAGAGACTGAAGTCTTAATAGTTAAAATTGTCAGGCTCTGTATGAGTGAGTAGACAGCTAGTACCAGTCTCAGCACTGCTCTGGCAAGTACTGTCATCTAGTTGTACTTGGTCTTTATTAATATGTTAGCTGATATGTATGCCTTAGAAACAATGAAAAGTGTTAAACATGATCCATTTTGAAGGCCAACTGTATTGCTTCCTAGAAAGAAGTGAGCTTATTGATAACTTTTTCTACCTAAGATCCTTAAAGGAGGAACAGTATGTAGTTAAATCAAAGAAACTGCTGATAAGACAAATAACAGAAATTATTTGCAGTAGTCTGTTGTGTGTTGCATCTGTCTCTGTGAAGCTTTGACAAATTTTAGCATGAGATGCCTGCTACCTGAGTGTAGCAAAGTTACAGCAAAATGATGTGATTATTGCAAGTGAATGAGTGTTTTCAATTTGTAACACAGTGAGTTTGTAAACAGTCAGCTGAAGTGTTTACATATTGGAGTATCCTCAACCATCAGGATAAACAGAAATGACCTTGCTGTTAATTTTAGCAGTAGTTAATTGTAATGTTAACGTTTTCAATGTATCTCACAATACTGAAGAAAAAGTCTTAAGGAGCTTGATTGTTTTTCAGCATCTTTCTGTATGTCTGCTTTCAGACTACCCCTAAAATTATTGCTCTTTACTATGTGCAGCTGCTGGAATAGTGAATTGTTTGCCTGAGCAGCACTGTTGCTTCCAAATTTAAAAAGTCACCTGTGTGAATTTTCCAAAAAATAGGCCTTTGCCTATCTAGCTTCTCTTGTTGCATGTGTAGTTGTTACAGCATTCTGTCAAGAATGGTTACATCAGGATCATTCCTTCCTCAGGTTACCTTTTCTTAAAACTTCAAACATCAGTCACAAGGGACTGGGGTGGGGAGGTGTAGCAAGATGCCATGGAACTACTTTGCTCTCCTCCCTCTCCCCCCAAAAGCTGGTTTCTGTCAGGTAACGCTCTACTTCATTTGCATTAGTGGAGAGGAAGATACAGTTATTTTCTGGCCTGAAAATTGCATGCTCTGATTTTCTATTAATTCTTCTCTGTAGCACTACCATATTTGTTTTTATTGAAGTTTAGTGCATCTAATGGCTGAAAGTTGGCCCAGATAAGAGGCTTGGTTCATATGTTAAAGCAGCTCTTAAAAAATTTTAGAAGAAGTATCTACCTTCGGTAAAAAATTGCTTAAGAGTCCTGTGGAATAGCAAAACCTTCCCAGATTTCCTTGTGTCTAACCTTGACAATCCTAACACTTGAGCCCTTTCTGTGTTGGCTGTAGCAATGTGAAAAGGTTTATTGTGCCTTGGAAGAACAACTGCATTCATTACTGTCCCCCCGTCAACCCTCCCCTTTATTGGAGAGAGTGGGGTGATGGAGTTTAATGAAAATTGTATTTCTATTAGCAGAATGAGAAATTATCAGACTTAATCAGGAAAAAGAAGAAAAGGCACTTAATTTAGAAGGAAATGGTTACATAAATATTTTAATTAATAACTGATTTGAAAGAACAGAAGTAATCATGATTAGAAAAACTGAATTTAACCATTTTTTAAATTATTCATCTGTAAACTGTTTTCTAATTAAAACTCGATTTTTTTTTCATTCACGTTTAATTTTTCATGTAACAGAAAATCATTCTATTTGATGTGCATAAATTTCTTAAAATGTATAGAAATTGCTACCGAGCGGTCGAGGCTGGGGCAGATAAAGCAATGATGAAGGCTGTTTCTTCCAGTACTAAATAAGCTTTTAAGAGAAAAAATTTAGTGGGAGAGGCTTGTGGGGGCTGAAACTTGCTTTAGTGGACCAAAAAAAAAAAAGCATGAAAATACATCTGTAGTTATTGGTTCCTTTTGTCATGGCGTTATGTTAATACTAATGTGGTTTAGTTATGAGAGAAGATTTTTTTATCTGTTATAGCAAAAAGTAATTTGTGGTTGTTAAAATATTTTCTGCTGCTGAAAAGTTTCATTCTCTACTGGTACAGACAACTGTACAAGATTCTTTAATAAATGAAAGCCTGTGTTGTCATGTAACACCTTCTCTGGCCCTTCATAGCTGAATTTGTACACCTGGCTGCATTTTTAATGTTTTTCAAGGTTTTCGTAATACCTTTACTCATTTACTATTTGCACGTTTCACTGATAAATGATATGTGTTTTCCAGTATGCAGTTTACTAGCAGCGTTTCATTCTTAATCATAGCATATAGCTTTGGCTTTGCAAATAACTGTCGAAAGTTATAGTTAAAGAGTAAGCCAAAGTTTATATGTGTTTTGCTAGCAGAATTGTTTTCCCAACTTTTCCTACAACCGTGTCTTTGCTAGTAATGAGATCACATGTGGGAGATGGCCTTTTAAGAATTTTAGGAAAGCTTACTATGCTATGACTATGCTTAGGAATGCGTAGTCATTGAAGTCAGGCATCCTTGGTCTTCTAGATTCCTAGACAAAGTTACATTTCTCTGCACTGCTATATAACTGAAATTGCATTAACTTCAAAAGAATTACAATATGGCTGGCCTCATTCCACTTAAAAATAAAGCCCAAAGCACTGTCTAGACCACTGGTCTATGATAAAGTCACATGAGAATGGCGAGAGATTTGGAATGTCCAAGTCTCATTGGGTCTGAATCTACTTTCAGCTTTAACAGAGCAATGGTTTTAGTTCACATAATCAGTTATTTGCAGGGATTGTTCGTTGCTTTCAGATATTATGAATTGATTAGAGTGAAGCTGTTAAACACAAAGTCTTGTTCTGGAAGTTTCTGTGCTGCAGATTCTGGGACTAGAGATGATACCATTTGGATGGTATACTTGTTTTGCGTAACATAGAATCAAATAATCCTTTCTAGAGTGGAAAGGGCCCTTGCAATGAGCAGGGGCATCCACAGCTAGATCAGGTTGCTTAGAGCCAGGGGCATCCACCATGTCTCTGGGCTGCCTGTTCCAGTGCCTTGCCGCCCTAAGGCTTTTTCCTTAGATCCAACCTAAATTTACCCTTGCTAAGTTTGAAACCACTTCCCCTTATCCTGATTCATGATTCTAGAGTTTCATTACATTGGAGAAGTGCATCTACAGTTTGCGTTTGCACCAAGGATGACAGTGAGTGTAGCCAGATCCCTAACGATGTAGTAAGGGTGTCTACTAATATCAAAGACTATCTTATTCTTACACTGTCAGTGGATTCTTGAAGAAATAACTTTCTGTTTTCCTCTGCAGTAACAACAGGAAGAAAAGCAATGACAATTGTGCTTTCTTTTTTGTTCTTTGCAAAGCCATTCACATTCCAGTAAGTATTCATAGTTTTAAGTGTATTTTTATATATTTTATTTAAAAAAAGTTGATCATGGGTTTATAACAATAGAAGTTAATCATATTCAGGCTTCCGTGGTTTTTGTTCTATATCTTCTACAATGTTAACAGTCTGTTGTAGATTCTGTCTTGATGCTAATCATTTTAGAGAAAATAGTTTCCATTTTTCTAAAGGTCTGGAAGATAAACTGTTCCATGTGTTGGCATTTTTGGTTGTTGCGTTTTCAGAAATATGTAATATCTGGGATTTATGATATTTAATGAATTGTTCAGGTGCTTTTCTCCAGGAAGGTTTGGCTAAAGGCAGGCCTTTCTTCAGTATTACACCTTTTCTGATCACAAGCTTGAATTCTTAGCTAGCTTTTCTTAACAAGTGGAAGCCTCTCCTATCTGGGGAGAAAATTAAAGTTAAAATGAAAATTTCTGGGGCTTTGAATTCTTCCCTGTTTTAAATCTCAATGAAGAGTTTTTTGTCCTTGAAAAAATGCAGCAGAGATATTGCAATGATTTAAATTCTCATTTGAAACAAAACAAAATTTAATTTTATTGCTATGTGTAAACATGAAACTTAAGAACAAAGCATAGAGCTAAATGCCCAAATGCAGTTTATTCCAGGTAAAAATGTTGAGGCTTAAAATAACAGGGCTTAAACAAGAGCTGTGCATTAGGAAGTATAGACATAAGACACTGAATGAGTGCGTGTTTTAGACCCAGTGATAGAGAGAATGGCTCTCCTAAATATAGACAAGGAAAAGTAACTAAAACCCTCTCCAGTCTACTTTATTCATATAAGAAAGAACAGTTAATCTTGTTTATTTTTTAACTAGGAGACCACCTTAATAAGCTATCCATTCAGTACAAGAAAAGGAAGGATTGCAGCACAGTAGTAATAGAGATTCAAGAAAATTCTTTCTCCAAGTCCACCAACTTGTTTGTTGTTGTATTTTGTAGTGCTTTTTTTTCTTAACTTCTTCTCTCATTAATTTAGGATCTTTATTTTTATCTCTAAATCATAAATATTGTTCAGTACAAAGTGCTAATGGTAACCTCTTTTCCCTCCTTTCTCTCCCCTTTAGATACGTGTGGTCAGGCTTACTGGTTGTCCTTGGAATATTTCTTAATGTTTACAGTAAGAATATGGATAAAATCAAACTGCCTTCACTGTATGGTATTTGGAAAAAAAATGTGGAAGAAAGAAAAACAAGGACGTTGTCACAAACTGTATAGAGAGTGGTTTATGCCATGTCTAGACTCTGACTTCCTGTTTTATTGGAACAGTCTTCAACTGATTCACTTTCCAAAGGGAACATTATTAAAACCAAAGGAGCTGAAGGCATAGTATCTGCTTGCAGATGGCTGGAAATGCACATTTTTGTGAGCCCTTTCTCCGGAGCACTTGAATTCATCATGAAAGGCATTATAGACCATTAGCAGGTGGCATTATCAGGCAATGAAGGACGGCAGCTCTTGGCAAAATGCTGAGAAGCTGCACTCTGAATGTGACACAGTAGAAGACTTACTTGGGCATTTTAATGATATTGGCCATGTGTCTGATTCCAGATTAGTCTTTCTTAGTCTTCGTTAATTGTCTGGCTGAGGTAATTTAAATGTAGTACTGTATTCACATTTAATGAAACCTAATTAGCAACTGGTTGACCAAATTGCGGTTTTAAAGGTGCAAGATTTAGAATATGGTATGTTGTCACATTAAATAAAAACGTTTTTTTTTTTAATAAGTTACTGATCAGGTCATCACAAAACTTATTTATTGTCATAATTTCCATTTTTATGGAAATCTTAAGGTATCATTTTACTTGGTGGTCATTGCTTGCAAGTAATGAAAATAAGACTGTTTGGGCAGGTCAACACCTGTGCTTTTACAACAGTGGAAGTGGACTTTGGACATCAACTAGCTGAAAAGAGAGAATGACAATGTAATCATTGAAATAGCTGTGTAAGAATTTGTAGTTTGCTTTTTCTGTGGTGAAGCAACAAACTTTTCATGGCCTATGGCACTCTTTGTCAAAGTGGTGTGAAGAGATATGAAAGAAGGTTCTCTGAACTAGTATCTTCAAATCAAATTCTCTATTTTCAGTATTGGCCTAAAGAATAACAGCATCTGATACTGTATTTAAGATATGTATTGTGTCAGTCTCTGTGTGGTAATGAATTTAAGAAGGTTAGGGTACAGACTACAATTTTCTTTTTTTTATTATAGGAAGAGATAGTTTACTTCCAATCCTTAATTGTGAATTTGGGAAGATTGAAACCATTTCTCCCTCCTGCTTTTGTTTTCAATTCATTTTGAATCACTTGCCTTCTCTTTCATTTTATGTATTTAACACTGGCACTTTAAAAATACAGATCACTTTACAGTTGATTATTCTCACACAGTCATGGTAGTTCTTGTTGTTGCATCCCTTACATGCATCTTGTTTTGTGTTGTTTCATAAAAAATTGATGACTTATTCAACTTAGACAACTGTAATTTTAGATAATAGAACTGTGAGATCAGAAAGAATGTATGAAGAACTGAAAACTACACAGGATGTTTTGCCTTCTGCCAAAAATGTTTGTGAAAGTAAACAAAATGTGCATGCAAAATGTTTGCCAGACATTTGGGAAGAATTGCTGTTCCAAGGAGCTTGTAATCAAATCACAGATCTTAAAATGTGCCTTAAATTTTGCTTACTGACTTAGTAGCCAGCATATGTCATATTAGGTGTGATATAAAATAGAACGTGGACTAACATAGCTGTGTTAGCATGATGGGACAAATAAGTGGAGTGCAGAGCAGCAGTAACAAATGTGTACTGTTTCAAAAGCTCAGGCTACTGTATGTCAGCAAAGCCCTTCAGCCCATACACGCACACTGTCAGCAAGTCATGAGATTTCATTGTGAGTGCAACAATGGTTTTTTTATTCCTGGCTTCTATATTATTTATTGTGTCCTGGATTAGGTGGAAAGGTGTAAATTTGACATATATGCACCTTGAAATAAAGAGAGGAAGGACCTGCCATAGTTATCATCAGTGTCCATACTGCAGTTGAAGTTGTGTGTAAGGTATGAAAAAGGATTATAATTTCAGGTTTGGTGGAAGAGTGGATTTTGGACCAAGTCTTTTCCCCCAAACTCCTTTATTCCCATGCATTTTTTCCCCTAAATTAAGTTGCTCTTTGCAGTGGGGTTATCTGTCAGGCTTAAAAGAGAGGTGGCTTTTGAACCAGTGAAAAGGAAGCAATTACAGAATGTTGGCAACCCAGTTCATCTTCATGGACCTTGGTAATTAGCATTTGAGCATCAGTTTGGACAGTATTTCAGTATCGGTTTTGCCATCTGTCTGTTACTAAACTTTACTGAACCTCCAGGAACCAAATTATGTGAAAGCTACCATACATATATAAAGTCAAAAGAAACATAATCGATTTGCTATCTGTTTTCTGTAAATACTTGAGAAATCACTCCCAGAGTTTCTCATAGGAATTAAGATATACTACATAGTTTGCAGAACTTCTAACTATCAAACTGACCTACTGAGTTCCATTGCTAAACTGAGTCCCATCATGCCACCTCCACACATCTGATGATGCAGTTTTGTCTTTGTTTTATCTGGAGTGCATAAAGTTCACAATATTGGTCATTTAACACTGGCCTTGCAATTTACTCTGTTGTGTACGAGACTGACTTATTGGAGCACACATGGGGGAAGTTTGGGTATTATTTTTTTAACTGTAGAAAAGGGGGTTTTTAATTCTTTTACAGGTGCTTGGTACTTTAAAATCTGACTATATAGACAAATGCTAGATTTAGAGTTCACAGCATATATTTAAGGGTCAGGTTTTTGTTATCATGGGTGTGAATTCAGCAATTGTTACTCAACAATTGTTGGAGGGAAGATTTAGGTTGGAAGTTCTTTACTGTGAGAGTGGTGAGGTGCTGGAACAGCTGCCCAGAGAGGCTGTGGATGCCCCGTCCCTGGAGGTGTTCAAGGCCAGATTGGATGGGGCCCTGGGCAGCCTGGTCTGGTATTAAATGGAGAGGTTGGTGTCCCTGCATGTGGAAGGGGAGTTGGAGATTCATGAAACTTGAAGTTCCTTCCAACCCTGGCCATTCTGTGATTCTGTAACAATATGTAAGAAAGTTAAAGAAGTTGCTTACTGAAATGAGAGGAGCTCATGATTCGCCACTTGTCATGATCTGTGCAGTTTCATGCTTTTGTTGAGATGTTAAGAAAATCTTCATTTCAGTGAATTGCTGTAGTTTTCTTAATGAGCCTTATAGTACATGCAAGTAAGAGAACCTGACAAGCCTCAAAGTGTTCTTATTACGAAATTTTGATTTAGGATCTTCTGTACTGTGCATGTCTGTTGTTTTGTGTTGTCTGTGAAATACAAGTAAGGGCTTGTTTGCAAATAATTTCTTTGTTTTTTCATGAGGAGAGCACTGACATTGGGGTGTTGCTGACTTTTCTTGATGTTGCTATGTTGGTTAAACGAAATAACTGTTGCAATTTCAGATTCATTAGCTCCTGGACTCTTTACAGTAGGCATTATGAAACTACAGAAGAAAGATTGATTCTGTCACCATAAAATTTACTGTCTAAACATAATGTGAACTGGCTGTTTGCTATTCTTATGATACACATCTTTCTCCTCTTTGCACAAAAACTGTGTTACAAGATATAGCTATGAGGCTGAAGGTCACACTAAAATTTAGGGCAGTGTTTCTGATGTCAGGTATCTACTACTGTGATACCATCCACTTCTGCCTCCTTCGTAGGACTTAGGGAGCTCTAATTTCCTGTATTAGTATGCATTTGCAGTTGCTTTCACATTACATTTTTGCATTTATTTTGTACACTTGAATAGAAAAGTAATTGACTGTGCAATGGATTTCTTCAGTATTTCACTAGATCAGTACCATTAAACTGCTAATTATTCTAATATTAATATATATAAATGGTGTAGAACTAATGCTCAGAACCCTTTCCTAAACCACTACAGTGTTTCCTGATACTGCATTCGGCTGTTGGGGGTTTTTGGTTGTTTTCTTTTTAAACTCTCATGTGCAATGAATTTACCAAGTACTTTTAAGATTTAGACATACAGCATTCCTATTTGTTGTCCTTACTTTCCCAGTTGTCTGTCTGTCTTCTAGATGCTGTTTACCTTTTTGCATGCTGTTTTGATGCACTATGGGTTGTTTCAGCTTTCTGTTCCTGCTTTAAGAACTCCCATCATACTAATACAAATCAGTCATGTTTCAGATCTGTTATGACAGCCTGGTGAATTCTTTTAAATCCTTTTTTCTCCCTGAACAAATCTTTACCTTTATAGATTCCATTATTTTGGAAAGGTCTTGCCAATTGCATTTATGGGTTAACTTCTTGACCTCATTCCATCTTTCCATCTTCCAGGAAAATCTCTCTTCTCATTAGCTTGCCTTTGAGGACAGAGGAGATAAATTAAGTCTGTTTTTTTTTTTTTTCCTCTTTTTTTTTTTAGTAATAAGTGCATTCCTTTCTAACCTTTATTGTTTCTTCCTACCTCCCATGCTTCCAGGCACAAACAAGCCCTTATCTTACATTTGACCACTGCTTGTGCAATCATGGAAACTTTTTGGACTGTTTACTGTTCTGGAAAGTGTACAGAATTGTAAGTATATTCTGGAGGGCAGGAAATAATAAGAAAGCTAAACTTCACAAGTTGGGGAAGCAGTGAAATGGGTTCACACTTCTATTTTCTAGAGGGATTATATGTATGGTACAGGTAATATCTCAGAAACTTAGTGAAAGATTTGTTTACAACTTACCTGTTTAAAAAAATCTGTATTAACGTTTATACTTAATATAAAACATCTGACTATTCAAGCTGTTTATATACATTAATTTTAGAATCGCCATGAGGCAGAAAAATCCTCTGTTTCACTGATGAAGCAGAGATGGTATCTTGCCCATAGTTGTCTTAGTACTAAGTCTGTGATGAACGGGGAATAGATTTTAATACTCTCAGTTGCTCTATACTCCAAGTCCCACAGAGCCCTTCCACACCAGCGATGGATGAAATGGTATCATTAGTTCAGTTTCGCACCAGTGTTAGAGATCTTAAATTGTTTCTGTTTCTGTTGTGCTGTTCTTTGCCAGTATAATTTAGAGTGAAATTAAGGGAGATATAAAATAGGCTTTTTGCATTTTTGTTTAAAGCTTCTTTGCATTATGTGCATTGTTACTGATTTTTGGTTTGTTCCGTTTCCTACAATCAGTGCTATGGAAACAAACCAGAGAGAAGCAGTAGTTGAAAATGAAGGATATTTTGCTTCTTCTGCAAGTGACTGGTTTGAATGCTGCCCATTTTGCTACAGGTCAAATTCTGCTGCATTTGAAAGCTAAAAAAGAAGCTAAGCAGAATAAAAAAAGGACACATACTAGCAGATAAGTTACTCACACCAATCTTAGCCTTAATTTGCATTTAAAAGTCCAGTTGACCTCATGAGTGAAACAGTGATAGCAACAGGAATTGTACATATCCCTTCTGTAACTCAAAAGATAGCTTAAAAGTTAAAAGTACTCTTTTGGAAGAGAGTTGAGGGGGAGGCATGGCTCTTGACTACTGTGACTGAGAAGAGAAAAGCCACATTATCCAGTGGAGAACAGTGTTGTTGAGAGATAAATGGCTTCTCTGCTGCTCTCTGTGTCTTTATATGTAGCCTGCCATATCAGTATCTAATGCCTAATCCCATAAATCTGCTTATTCTTGCATGCAGGTAAAGGTATACCCATTTATGTTGAACTTGATGGGTGTTTTAGTTTGAAATAAACAAGATTTGGACAGTCGTGGACATTTCTATGAGGGGGATTTGGGGCCCCTGAAAGGCTTTAATGCATAAAGCAAAGTTCACCTAGGCTTCAGGCAGAACTACGCGGTATTTAAGCTCTTTAAGATTTAACATGCCTTTAATCTTTTGTTGAACTAGCCTTAAGTTAGGATTATTTCCTTTGCCTACTATCCCAATTTTGGTACTGGAAAATCACGTTAGTGAGAAATAGGCTAAAACCTGTCCTTAGTATGCAGTTCAAGTTAACAGCTGGTGGTGTCCTATGCCTGCTTTACACTATCCAATGCAGTGCATC